CTTTAGTTTGATTTCTTCGTACCTACGGTTTTAGTTCTAGCAATTGATTCAAAAGCTGTATACACTTTATCCTTTGTTGGCATCCGTGACAGTATCTAACTGAAGGTATCGAGTTCGAAGGTTGGTATGCGAAGAGAGATGACAATATATCACTGTGTGTTTGCTAAGAAGCAAACTCGTTACTTGTATCAAAGATGTCAAACTAATATGATAAGATTGATAACTAAGTTGAGCACGAAGCTCCTATCTAATGGCAGACGTGCCAGTCTTATATAGAACCTCCATGTTCCTGTGCCAGCTTGCTAGCCCAGTCACCCCGTCGCTGCAAGACCGCGCGACCAGTCGCCCTGTCTAGCACACCTAGTCACGTGATTCAAATGAAACGAAATCCATGGATCGCTTAGCTAGTCTAAGCATCCCTATTTGCTATAAGAGATATGATAGTGCTCGACCTGTCAGGACGCCGCCCGGTCTTCACTCGTCACATGCTCACACGTGATTCGTGACATAAGAATATTTATACTTGATTTATATACGTTTTAAATATAAGTCTAGCTAAATATAGGCTCTACTACTCTCGGTTTTAGTATTCCTACGTAAGTACCTAGGTACCTAATAAATATAAGGTATAGTTATACTGACTGGTGCCGCTTCAGGTTAGAGCCACAGCGGGACACCTCCACCTCCATACATCCCGATCAGTCTTCTGGATTTTCACCAACCATGGAGTAGGAATGCTTTAGGTAGGAGTAGCAACTATGGTAGTGCTATATTCGACTATCTTCTGTCTCACGCAATCCCTTCGAGGCTGTCTCAAGCTTCTTTTCCAAAATGACTGCCAGTGCTCTAATTTCAAGCAGCGGACGTGAGTTTAATCGGCCAACATTGGTCCTGGCAATGCCATTAAGTCTATGCTGTGTGTATCTGTGGATTCGGCTCAATGTCAGACAGGACGTGAAATTGTTGGTAAAGGTGTTCGGATCATGTTCGATATATAAGAAGACGCTTGTAGAACGAGGCAAACCTGCATGCGCCCTCTCATTGCTGACCGCTGTTACACTGCGTTTTCTTCCTCGATCATGCTCGCCTCCTTTCTCTCAAAAGAAACAGGGAAACGAGTTACACCTCACTTTTCCACCCGCTACGTCTTGCCAAATCCTCCTCCATGGGATCCATGGGAGGAAAGGGTTCGAGAATTGCTCAGAACCACCGATAACTGGGATACAATTCGACACATCTGCGAGCTCCCTTTTCGAGATCGAAATACACCTCAAGTTACGTTATTGGACCGGTGGGATTCTGGATTAGATTCCTTTTTGATATCCTTTGCAACAAGAGATCGACACGACGAAATCCTCGGGTGGGCCACAGATCGCTTGCGGGGAAAGGGGAAAATACGTTGAAGTCAAGAAGGTGAGTCTTTGAGCGATGTTCTCTATTGCGATATTCTGATAGCATCAACAGCATTTGCGTTCCCGGCACCCTCTAGCATACTGGATTCTTACTAGTAGCCTACAACTTAGCTCTACCCAGCCCCAAGATTCCCTTAGCTATCTGTTCCGTTCCATTTCGGACATATTTACAAGTACGAACCCGGCTTGTATAGTCAATCGATTTGCCGTTCTCAATGTTCGGTTTACCCTCATGAAGGAGAAGGAAGGCGTTTGGAGGCGAGATTTTTCCTTTCTCGGAGGCATCACTTGCAATAAGCCAATGGAATTGGCTGAGTCAATCACGGACACCGAGAGCGAGCTCTTTCGCAACTTTTCAGTCAATCATTTCCTCCAACATCGCAAGAAAACCCGCTTCAAGTATGGCAAGCAATGGTCAGCGTTAAGTGATGATGTCCTCGCATGTCTTACTGCTGACCGTAGCTTGGTGGGGCGTATTACAAAGGTTGTAAAGGCAAGTGAATTTCTTCTTCTTTACCTGTTTTGACCAAGTCTAATACTTTCTAGCATCTTCGTCTCTTACGGAACCAAAGCTCTTTGATAGCAGTTCTTGATGGCATTCGAAGGGCAGAAGTTCCTGCTATAGAGCTATCAGAGATATCGAAATTGTTTAGACTCATCGACTTGCACAACAACTATGCCTTCTACCGGCAACAGTCATCCAAGGAGTCTAACCCCGTGCTTCCGTTTCTACTTCCTTACTTTCAAGCGAGTACAATTGATCCTGTTGGCGGGCTCATTGAATTCTTCCAATTTGTGCCATGCTTTGAATGGAGACAACAGCGTGGCAGATTGGTCGAAGAAGAAAGCGACCTGTCACAGATAGTACGAGAGGGCTTCGGCATCGAAGAGGTTTGGATCACATTGTACAACGCGTTTGCGATCGCATCAGCTATGCTTATCCGTCTATGCCATCGATGCATATACAGATACAGAACACAGCATCCCGATATCGAGCAATGCTTGCAAGTTCCCAAGCCCTCAAACTCTCTCCAATCGACTTCTTCCAGAACCCGGCTTCTATGTTCTTCTCTTCCGGAAATCCGCGACGGTCAAAGGGGGAAGGGTAAAGCAGCGGAGTTGCAGGAAAAAATTGGCGCCTGGTGGGACAAGCCTCCGAATATTCCCATACGAGTTTTTCGGGAGCCTCGATTACGACGTAATCAAGCGTATTGCTGCAACTGCGATAGGAAACGCAAATACGATTGTAAAGATGTGTGCCTATGTCAACACATTCGCAAGGGGTGCAACGCTTGCTTGTATAGGCCAAATTCGGCAACAGAACCATTGAATCCAGGAAAAGTCGTCGTCCTCAACCAGTCCCAGATTTCTCAATCAAATACTAAAAGAATTAGAGCAAGTCTGGCCTTGCAGAGCCTGTTAATACATACATCAGTATCGTTCTCGGAGATCTACAACGTCATCGGTCAGCTTTCATCTGAGGAATGTTGGCTTTTGTCGTGTACACGGGAAGAATTTTCACAGCAAGAGTTCCTCTATCGCTTCGCAGTAGGAGGAACAGGGGCTGAATAGGAGAATATGATAAAGATAGGGGCTTTGTACAACCCAGGCCTGACAGTGGAAGAGCTCTGCAAGCTTTGGAATTGCCTTATTGTAAGTTAATTTGAACACGAGATACGATATCAAACTAATTTCCTACCAAGGAGAATATTAAGTCAAAGGTGAAATTCCTAGCAGGAGATACGTGGGAAGTACAGAAAGATTTCTCCGTCGAACCAGTAAGTGCTTCTACGACAATTTTCTCATACCAAATAAGTAACTATAGGCAGATCCCTACCCTAATTGTTGAGGAGCAAGGTAGATATGAGGATGCTACCAAAGCCATCAAGCAACTAGTAGTTCCTCTGCTCTCTCATGATCAAATTATGCCTCCCTTCGTGATTTCTTGGACCGAAAGTCTTCTACCTGAACATCGGTTGCTCTTGTGTATTATGCTCCAGACATTCCCCAAGCCTGGGGAGCTGTACGATGTGTGTTTTAAGAGGAGAGAACCTGACTTCCATCAATGGGAAAATTTACAGAGGCAGTATCTTGCGTATATGGGGAAAGCGGCGACTTTGCCGAAAATACGTTTAACCTTAGAGACAATCCTAGGTCTGGTTTATTGGTCAAGGATGCTGAAAGATCAAGGTCGTGACTAAACATGTATAGGTGTTCTTTGACTTCTCTTTAGTTTTTAATTTTTGAATCAAAATCATTTTAGAATGTCGATTATAATGCGTTGCATCTCCTTTTACTTCGTATGTAATATAATTTGACTAGTCTTTTCAACTGCTTCTATTTGCGTGCACGTAAGCAAAAGCTGCGTTACCCGCTGGGTAAATTTGAGAGACTAGGCACTTGAAAATCGCATGAGAAGAGACCTATAATTCTATTTTGAGCGGTCACTATAACATGGTCCTATATCCTTTTCCGGGTCGGCAAGGAGAAACGAAATCCTCCAAAATAGGGTTTTTGCCACAAAGCAGAAAGCATTAGCAGATACGGGGCAAGAACCGTTCTCTCAATACAAAAGGCGGGTTTTATCCCTCTCGTTGCTCATTATTCTTGTTCCTCTCGTGCTCAAGCTCCACGTCTTTTCAACGCTGTCTTCTGATTTTCAAACCACTATGTCCTCTATGTGGTCAGAGAGGCGGTGCATGCACCTAAAAAGAGTGTTGAAGAAAGGGATGTTGCAACTTGGCTTTATTATTGTAGCTCCTTCAGAGGACTTTTCAAGTAAGTCTTCACCTATTTCTCTCTACAAATATTAATCTAAGTAGGAGAATACACGATCTATCGTTCGACCCAGGAAAATTTACAAACATAGCTGAACTTCTTATCGCAGGAAGGATTTTCAAAGAAAGAAATAGAAGATATGGGATGATATTAATTAAATGTGGAACTAGGAAGTGGGGTTTAGAGGAAACAACTCGAGCTATCATTGGTGTCTATGCAAGTAGTATGATCGAGGATGCTAAATAGAAGAGGATGAGGATGACGTTGGTTCATGTGCTGCAATTGGGCAGGAAACACGCTTACGTGGTTATTGACAGGGATGAGCAAGGAAAGCAATAAATCAAGGAATACGCACTGTTGATATTGTAGTCAGGGACCTGCTTCTTTTACAGAAAATCTCACCTCTCCATGACTTTAACATACCCCGTTCTTCTCAGTCAGCGTATAAAGAGATCCAATAATTACTTGTATAAATAACATGTTCACGTTTCCTAATCATTTTACTATTAGAATCTCTCCACATGGTTGGTTCCTTAGCGTTGAATCCTATTACAATTATATAAAGTAAGTTCCTGCTCTAATGTACTTTAAGACAAAGTAAAACTCCACAAGACTTGAGATTCTCCCAAGGATGTTCACATTCATCATCTATCTTTCAGGAGCCGACTCGGACTTCTTACCCATTGCTATTCTTCTTGACCTTTGGTTCGGAGCTATCATCTACTTCATACCTTTCCAACTTTATCTGGACAGTAGAGCCCAGGCAGCAGAATACCGTTCAAAATCGGAGATTATTGCTCACAAGAACAAATAAGTTGGAAATCTCCCCAGCCCCTTCACCTGGTGCCCTACCGTGGGACTGCTCGACTCCGCCCATCCGTTTAATAAAGGAAGGAGTCCGCCCTATCTCTGGAGTCAACATCATCTACGTTGACATCTTCATTTTCTCGACAAGAGCTGTTCTTCGGCATTCCATATATTCACCTCTAGGTCGCTTTATGACTCGCAGTCCACAATCCATCTCGCCTTATCAACCAGCAGTCTATAGAGCAAATTTGTCGGAACGTTTGCCTCTACTACCTACCTAGTAAGAAAAGCCATCTTTGCTATATACCCCGCTAAATCTACTTACAGTATTCAACCAAACTTCGAACTCAGATGATGTCGGGCTTTATTACACCTTCTCCGGATGTGCTACGACTCGAACTTGAGGAACTTGGCCCACGAATAGTTCACCTTTTCTTCTATTTCCGAGACGGGCAAGAGAATGGAATGAGAATCGACAACCCACTCCCATCTTCATACACGGATACCCCAGAGTCTAAGGAAGTGACTCTCGAATTATATAAGAATATCACTCTTGCTGGAATGGGATTTCTATTCAACCCGACGAAGGATTTCCTTTACCCGCATTTTCCAATTCTCCGCGAGGAAAACTAGGAGAACTATAACGACACCTACCCAAATAGCCTTCCCGCAAACGACGGTATCAATCAACTAGTTCATCAGTACTTGTTAGATCTTGCCCTAGCCTTGGATGGGTTGCATGAGACCGCGACGAAGAATCTGATTATTGATTTCGACTATATCTTTCATATCACCCCATTCTTTGTCTCTGACGCAGCGATGATACCACAGGTAGAGGGTTTAAAATCTCTCTATATCGATGCAAGAAAATATTTCACGGCAGAGTATGCCTATGCGTCTCTCCATGATATCCTCTCTAGAACTGCTGATAAACAAGAAGTAAATCAAGAGACAGATAAACCTGCTGACGTGTTGTTACCTGTCGTAAGAGATGACACTGTGATGGAGGTAAAAGCATGGTGTCTATTCGAAGAATATCAGAGCGCAAGATTTACCTTGGAAACTAAATACCATGATGGGGTGACGAAAGAAACGTGGAAAGTGAGAAAAGAGGATGAAGGCGACATTATTAGTTGGCGTGGGTGTTGGCGTAATGCATTTTTGGCGGGGCAGGGGTGGACTGAGGGTCTTTATGGAGATGCAGAAAGGAAGAACAGATTTAGAATAAGTCTTGAGGAAAGATATAGTATCGATATTGTTGTAATACTTCAAGAACTTATAGCGCGTGATAGAAGGTCTGGGGAGGTTGATCTTCTTTGAAGTAGATAATGGTCTACTAGAGCCTTAGGACTGAGCTATATAAGTTATTACCTCCTACCAAACACCCGCGTCTATGTGTTTAGTATCTTATCAACTCTGTCTCTAGGTCTCGTATGATAGATACTAACCCTACTAAATGTCGCTTAAAACGAACCGCAAATCAACCAGATCTCATTATTATCGACCTAGGAACTGGTTTCAAAATTGATTCAAACATTCTAGGATCCCTTAATCTAATATAAACTAAAATTACGTACCTTTCTGGGCTCTGACTTAGCCCCCCTAAAGATAACCTTGCCCTCAACAACTTTATAAGGAAGTTTCAGCTTTTGGTATATCATATCTAGCCTAGTCCCTCTTCTGAAGACCTGTTTAAATCCCCTTCTCATATATTTCAGCTTTTAGTATATTATATCCAGCCCAATCCCTCTTCTTAAGTCTGTTTAAATCTCCTTCCCATATATTATCATCCCACTCTATAGCTCCATCGACCTGAGAAATTGGATCCAGTAAAAGTGTACGCTTGCCTCGCATCGAAAAAGCGTTACTTAGACAAGATGTCGGCAAGTATTCTAGATCTAAATTGAAAAACATAGTATTCTAACGAGATAGAATATCAACCTCGAGCTCCGAGGGTCTGGTTTTGGCAACACTTTCTTTATACAGTGCTTTTGGTGGACATGTTGCAAAGTAAGTTTCACCTCTGTAACCTTTCCCTAAGCCCTTTTAACAATTATTTTAGTGTAACACAGTAAACGACTTAGACAATACATATTGCCAAGGGGATTGTGATTCCCATTGTAGATACACTTGTTGTACCCTCCATGCTACATATCCGCAAGCTAGAACTCACACCAGCCGACAATAAAGTAGCAGCAGAGACCTTGTTTTATAGTTGCACGATAAAGCTTTAGGATAGATGAGGTCTTGACATGTTTCTTTACAATTGTTGACATGTCATTGGAATTTATTATTTTAGTCGATGATGGAAGGATAGAGACAAAATACAATTAAAAGTACATTAAGATAATCATCTAAGGTGCAGGATGGAGGCACGAGCAGGGGACTTTTATCTCGAGAAATTAGAGTACTTATTATTCTTTGCCTAATCAAATAAGTCATTCATTTGAAATAAATCACCCCTTATCTGAACCATCCGATTCATCTGATGAAATAACTACTGGAGACATTCCCATTGCGTCTGTGAATGCAGCGACATGGAGATTACTCTTGTTCCTCTCCATCTGCTTTTCCTCAATGGTACCCTCAGAATACGTAACATAGCAGTGCACTTGATGATTCATTTGACCCAAACGGTGAGGCCTTGCTAGATATTGAATCATTTCGCAAAGTTTCGCATTCGACTCCATGGCCACAATCGCTACAGTATTGGCCAGGGTATTACCCACTTCCATTGCCTCATTTTGTACAAGTTAGTCGAGTTCGTACTTAGTAAATATATACGGGCATAGGATTTCTTGTCCCGATGAAGTTTCAAGTGTTTGTCCCTGGATTCAATGGGCAACGGTCTACAGTCTACATATAAGTATGTCCATCCTACACACTTGTCTTTCAGAAACTGACCCCGTACTCCTATTCTTTTCAATTTTCATTGCTTTCTGGTTCGGAGCAATTATCTACTGTATACCTGTGCAACTTTATCTTGATAAGAAGACGTTGAAGGCCGAACAACGCTCAGCGGTACTCTACGATAGAGCAAAAGGTACAAGAAACCAGAAAGATTAAGAAACACACTACTCTAAGCGCTCTGCTATTGACGAGGCTCGGGGTATGTACTGAATCGCATCTCTCCTCCTTCTCTCACTGATCTGGAGAATACTAACCACCTCCAAGTCCCACCTACGAAGACTCTCCTCAATCCACCGCCAATACCATGACCGTTCCAGGATATTGCAGTCACTCCTTCATCATGCTCAAGTCAGATACCACCATGGTGCAATGGATTTGCCAAATGTGTCACGCCGGTCCATTCAACCACATCTACGAGTGCAAATACTGCAAGCTCAAGACTTGCCGGCCGTGCTCGATGAAGGCCTAATTGTGTCACTTTTCGTTCGTCATTCCCGGTACGTAATGTTACTATACCACTCCCAAATCTGATTCGTTGGGGCAAAACGAGATGTGGTTTCCACACATCGTATTTCGCAAACCACGGCCGACCCGGCAGCAGGGGTTTTGTTTTGGGCGGAAAGACGAAAGACGAAAATGGCCACTGACATCAGCTTTGCAGCCCTACTTCTGAGCTTTCCCATGTCGACAAGTTCGCGTCGCCCAGAAGCTGTTTCTCCACTATGGGTTGTTCGGTCTCCTCGCTCACTGTACTGTCTTCGATTACTCAATTGAGAGAGGGGTTCAAAGATTGTAGAAGATTAGTTGTTCGACAGATGGGACTGATTGTTGATTCGGGCACATTCGGCTTTTTCTGACTGGCTCAATTCTCGAAAGAACGAATTTGGATTTGTTTGAAACATATTAGAAGAGACACAACGAGCTTATTTGATGGACGATGTTGGGGTCCGAAGTGGGTGATTGAGAATGATTGACACAGGAGGGGAGAGAAAGGTTGTGAACCTAGAGAGAAGAGAGAAACACTAGAGTACTCTTTTTCTATTCTGAGTTCTGAATTCTCCTTTAAACGCTCACTTCCCCTTTTTTTGCTCTAGCTCCATCTTGCCGCTTCCAAAGTCCTCCTCACTTCCCCTTCTCTCAAATAATAAACCTGACCTAAACCAACAGAGAAGAATTCCCTCCCAGTTTCAAATTCCCGTTCCCCTACAACTCCAAGAGTCTAATTCCTCTTACTGGGCCCAGGTCGTCAAGTAGATTGCGAAGGTCGATGAGAATTGTGATTTGCGAGTGAATTTTGTAGAAAATGTTGTCGTGAAAAAAAGAAGAGAGTTCTAGCCGTTACTGTCGTTGAAGGGCGAGAAAACATCCGAATATATTTGAGCCTTTTGCTGAACTTGAAAACGAAATCGCCGAAAGAAGAGGCCGGGAAACCGAAGAGAAACGAAAGTCTTGTTGCCGAGGTCGTGTTATAAGAGTTCAAGGGAACATAGCTGTAAAATCTTTGAGAGCTGATGAAGAATACAGCTGTTCCTATGAGCGTAGCCTGCTTTAGAATCAACATCACAGTTACATCAGTACTCGAAAAAGATAAAGACTTACACCATTTTCTAGCCAACAATGAACATATCATCCACCCATCCACGTATTATCTAATCTCATCACCTCTTCCATTCCTATCTGGGAAAAGAACGTCAGCAAGGCCACAAAGGATCAAATATCAGAAGCACGAACCGGTTTCTATCTATGGTTAAGTTGCAAGCTGCAGTGTCGATGGCAACTTGAGTGTCAATATCGCTCTCGTCTCCTTCCAAATCCATGCTTAACTCTCTAATACGCTTCCTCTCATTTGTTCTCGAGCCTGGCGCCTACTCGGCCTCATCTCACTAATTTGAGTTAGGGTTTCTTTCTCCTTGATCTCAATCTCACCCTTCAGAATTCCTGACTTGAGTATTTCACAACAATCTTCGGAGAGAGAGAGCGGAATAGTCCAGCCGTTGAAAGCAATGTTTCGTTTCTGGTCATTTTCTTGGATGCGGCGGCACTAGGTATCTACTGCTTCTTGCTGAGTCTTTGTTTTACACGTTACTGAATAACGATCAAATAATGTCGGGAACAGGGCAAGCATCTTGAGTTCTTCGTGGCTGTCAAGACTCTCTCTTTCGTCCTCAGGATAACGTTTCTCAATAGCGTCGACTCCCTTGCAGATCAAGTCCATGACTTCACGCACGGCTGGTGCATCATTCTAGCCCTCCATTAGCAGCATCGATCAAGGAGGTGCGCTGGGCCATGTACTACATACCTCGTCCGTCCCAACTGTGACCTGAACTGCGAACTCATGCTCCTTCAGCTTCTTTATGTCCACCTGGAGCTGGGATCGCATTGCCGGATCCTCTACCAGCTTGACCCCCCGCGTACAATCTAGCTTGAAACTCAGATTCTGCACGGTAACAGTTATAGCCTTTACAGTTGCCATTGTAACATTTATACCAGGCGTGTGAAGGTCGACAAGGATATCAACATTGTCGTCGAGTTGGACACGCCGAAGCATCGTGGGACTGGTAGCCAGAGATGTAGCAATATTCTCGCGATGAACGACCAGCCAGTACTCGCGTCCTAGGGCATATTTGGAATGGACGGCTTCAAAATACATCGTAGGAGAGGGGTTTGGAGGAGCCGAAACTGTATTTGCGGTGGTGTTAGCATTTGTCTATCAAGGGAGATGAGGTTGACGCTTCTGACTTGACGGAATATCTTGATTGCGGTTGTACAGGCTGACCACGAAGGTAGTCGAGCGTTTGGTATAGGAAAGCGATTCGATGCAGGCAAATCATTGAATGCGCAAACCTTTGAAGGGCTGTGAGAAGACACCGAAGTACGCAGGAGGGGAGAGGGCGAGGGGAAAGGTAATATGTTGAGGGTGGGAATATACCGTGGTAAGTTGTGGAAGTTAGAAGTCAGAAGTCTGTCTTGACTTTAATCGCTTTCCACAAACGGCAGGCACGTTAATTTAGCGCGCTATCACATGACATCGCACTTTCTTGTGTCAAGGGTCCTGCATATCAATAATCACGTGAAGTCACCCCAAGATTAAGTCCAGACAGCATTCTGACGGGATAGGCACATCCAGAGAGTTATAACAAACAAGAATCCTTGGAGTAACTAAGCGATCGACGGATTGACTTCATTTGTGAGCACGTGATATATGGCGACAGAGCGACGTATGGAGGAGCAGAGGCTAGACAAATCGAGATTGAAGGATTCAGAGCAGGAGGATATCTTCCTCAACTTCAAAGTCTGGGATAGGAGTATTTGGAAGGATCGATTACCGCTCGAGTTGAGGGGCGATGAGAATTGAACGATTATGTCAAGGCTCAACAACATCAGAAGGCCACTAACTGAGAACATCATCATCACATCACGACTCGGTCAATCTAGTTATCTGTTTCCGTCATACCACAGTCTTCTCTCTATCCCGAACCGTGTACCTGTAGCCGGCATTTCCCCTCGATTCAGAACTAGGGTACTCCATCGCTTCATTGCTACCTCGCGAGACTCGGTGCACACGTAAGCAATGGCGTTGTGATTTATTGTTTCGCGAATGCCGCTGTAATAAGACAGTGTTGTTCACCTTCCTGCCTCCATTCCTCCTGCTGTTCCCTTGGGAGCTTGTTAATTCAAATTATCCGATGTTTTGTCTAGTCAATATTGTGTTCTATGATGATCTTTCAAACCTTCGTGTACTTCCAACGTCAATTTCTTGCCCAGTTGTGTGTAATAGTGGTAGTGTAAGATCATTACAACTACTCCCAAAATTAAAACAATCAAATAAGCATCAGCTAGATACAGCGTTGCTAGATTAGGCTTGGAGTCGAAGGAAAAACCCAAAAGTTTAATTCTGAAATAAGTATGAGCAGCGTCGCTAGATTGGGCTTGGACTCGAATCAAAACCTAAAAGTTTAATTCTTAAATAAGCATGGGCTGCATACAGCGTCGCTAGATTAGGTTTAGACCGAATTAGAAGCCGAAAAGTGTAACGCTTAAATAAGTATGAGCTCGACACAGCATTTCTTGATTAAGCTTAGACTCGAATGGAAAGCCTAAAAATTGTGACTCTTAAATAAGGGTTGGCTGGATATGGTGTCGCTTAACTGTTATGGTGGGGATCAAGGAATAGATTGTTCGCAAGGAGGGAAGAGAGAAGCTCTTCACAGTCCTTAGGTATTTGTCTATCTACGGAAGAATACACCCGCAACTTCACTAAGCGAACCCTTATTTACTGATTTGAAAACTGTCACAGGAATAGCTTTTTAAAGAATTATATTGAGGTGTAAATTGTTACTTCAACTTGGAAAATATCTTTCGAAGTCAAGAAGGTCGTTTCTCGCTCTCTTTTTCTGCTTTAAGCTGCCTACTTTGGAGTTGTGGATCCAATTTATAGACTGCTCCTGTTTTTGTTATTATTATATTAAAGGAACTCAATAGGAATGCGGGGGTTCATACCCTTACAACTTGAACTACCTAAAGATGATAGATTTTGCCTCACAGCCTTAGACCTGATATGATCTGGTCCAAGGGCCTTCTCACGGCCTTGCAACGCCCGCTGGTACATCTGCTCGGCCTCCACCAGCTTGCCTTGATC